CATCGATGCAATTAATCCATTTGATTTGATTTAAATCATATCAATTAATATTTCAGATCATTGCTGTCACAAGACATAAATCTCAATGAGCCAAATGAAAATTTATTGAAAGACAAAGAAGGACTTGAAGTGTCAAAAAAGACAGATTTTGGACAACTCAAATTAGGAGGGAGCAAAAGTATGGAAATCTGGATAGAGTAAGTTAATTTTGTTATTGCCTGTGTTTTTCTTTTAAAATGTTTTATCATAACTTAAATCCACAGTTTACTCTGATATCCAAGGCTGATCTACCCATGACCCTTTCCCTTTGTAGCAGGTACACTGGATCAAGTGGAAGTCCAACAATGCAGTTCCAATTTGGTTATCCTATATCAGGGGTGTCAAACTGGATTTCTTTGAGGGCTGGATCAGCATTGTAATTCTCCGTGTGGCGGGGTGGGTGGGATGGATGCTTCCTGCAGCACCCTACAGTCAAAATGGGGTGCGGGGTATCCATGCGCAGTCCCCCGTGACTCGTTTTCACCCTCCATGGCCTCCTGCATCATTGCTGGCTGAAAACGGGCTTCATAGCCTGTTTTGGGTGCATTTTCCACCCCACTTTTGGCCTGTTTTGGGACCGGTTTTGACCCAGTTTTGGCCAGGAGAGTGCTGCAGGAGGCCATGGAGGTTGAAGCCGATGTGCAGGAGGGCTGCACATGGCCCATTTTAGCCGCCAGAAGCACCATGGGCTGGTCCCTTGATATTTCCAGGCCAGCCCCGTGGGCCAGATTTAAGCACACCCAGACCGAATCCGGGCCACAGGCCTTGAGTTTGACACCCCTGTCCTATATCTTTCCTCTTGAGAAAGACAAGAAACAATTAAAGCACTTTATTCTGTATGTTTAATAAGCACTTAGAATGATCTCCTAGCACAGGAAAAATGTCAGTACTCTATGCACCAGGCAGACTGAAAAGAAATGCTGTAGGAAATGTATTACCTACAGTGTGTGTTTTCCCTAATTGGTCCAAAAGTCACAGGCAAGATTTTTTTTTACAATTCACTTAATGCACAGCTACACACAAAATTAGTTAGTATTAGTACTAACTTTATTAGTATTAATAGAGGCCTGAAAATTCCTGAAAATGGAAAGACTTCATTGGATATAGTCTCTTGCCATCAGCTACAGTTTCTTGTTTTCTTATTGCTAATAATTTGGGATAAAGGATAAAACTGTTACAGTGAATTTTCTTACCACTCTAGAAATATTTATGATCCTATTAAAAACGTACAAGTAAGCTTGACTTTTCATCAGTCGAATTTATAATAGCCATGGAACAGGTGCTTTATGGGCCATAAAGCATTCTTGTTGTTCTAAATGGTTGTGCCACCCACCCTACTCTGCAATTATATGATCTCATGTTGGGTTGCTCAGAGTAGGGTGAGTGGCTCGGTCCTGGTGTTCTTGGTTCATGTGGCCACAATTTGTGGTGCTTTTTGCTGGTTTCCTTCAAAAAAAAAAAAGTGCATTGAGATGAATTGGTTCTCTTAATAACCACTGCAAAAAAGGCTGGGAAATAACTTTCAGCCACATCAGTTTCTTGACCTATGACTGTAATGACTGAAACTGGATTTCTGGCCCCAGTGATGGTCATAAGTCAAGGACTATATAAATTTAAAAAAATGACTTCAGATATCATTTCTTATATATAACATATTTAAATATTGAGATGGAAAGTGGTGCTATTATTTTAGGAACAAAGGGGAAACAGAGCATTCTTTAATTAGCTGCAAATTATGTGGCTGGGATAAAGAGAAGCAGTTCTGTCTTCAGTTGTCAGAAAAGAACCAGATGTGCTGGAAAACAGCTTCAGCATTGACTGTCCCTGATGGAGCTGCTACTTCAGGTAAATTATACATCCAGTATTTAAAAAGGATTGCACTGCTTGTTGGTTCTACTCTAGTTGGAACACTTGTTTTGTTTTGTTTTTATAAAAGGTAAATTCACGTGCCTAAGCAATATTGGAGATTCTAATAATTCTACAATTGGACAATCTGAAAGTGTAACATGTGAAAAACAAGGAGAAGAAATCAGAAGACATAACAGAAGCATATCTCTATCTTCTGGGAGCAAGACTTCTATAACAGTTGTATGCACTGCAAAGTATGTTTCCTCCCCCCCCCCCCCCCCCCCCCCAGTACAATTTTGTGAAACAATAATGTATGATTTTCTCTGTTAGAAGTCAGGATTCAAATTCATAGCCAAAAGGAATTACACGTATGTTATCAGACTAATTCTATTCTTGATCCCTCTGTTGTGGGTTTGTATATCTGGGTTGTTGTTGTTTTACTTGATAAGGCCTCATGAAAAAGTATGAAAAAAGGGCAAAATGTATGGTTTAACATTCCGTTCATCCAAAATCTGAGCTCAGGAATGTTGATTGTCCATATTGCTGGAATGGAATCGTTTAAGGTAATGATCGATCTCAGTGGAGACTTAGCAAACATCCAGGAGTGAATTTATTGAAGTTGTCTAAGTATTAACCAGTGATTTTGAATGTCTTTAAATTCATCCTAGATGTTGGAGCTTAGACAGACTCTTTCACAACAAAATTTCCTTTTAGTGAATTTAAACCAGTAAAATTAAAGAACATTACAATGGAAGCTTTTAATTTCTTGTTTTAGACAGCTATGTTGACCAGAATTCTGAAACTTAGGGCAGATGTCAATTTTCTTGATATTTCAACTTGCTAAGATAGAAAAATGTAGGTTCACCAGTATTCAGATGTGTCCGCACTTTGCTAACCAACAGCCCTTGGTCCTCTATTGAATGACATCTACATGGAGGGAAGCATGCAGTGGGGTACCTCAAGGTTTTCCCTTGTAAGACTGGGACAGGTCAGGATGGGTGTTACTCCTCTTCAGCTGCTAAGGACTGAGTCTGTGTAAAAGGCTTATTAGCCTAGCTCCGCCCACTCTGGGTTATTCCTCCCAGTTCTACTCAGTCCTTGGCTGAAGAAGGACGCTGTTCTGTACGATCCATTAACATACTTGCAAACACCGCGCCGTGATTGGCCAGAGCGCACGGCGACCTGATTGGCCGAGCGAGCCGCACTGATTGGCCCGCCGCAAATCCCTGCGATTGGTGGAAACTAATCGCGGGAGATTCGAAGCGGTGCCATTGGCCGCGGCCGCGGAATAAAAGCCGCCGCTTTTCTACTGGAGCCCGAGCCGATCTCGGGACTTAATAAAGAGTTGAACTAAGTCACTGGCTCCCGAGTCTCCTTTCCCTGCGACGGACACGACAGACGCAACAATTGCCTCTCCTGCCTTTGCATACTTTATTTCCAAAGGCACCCTTTGCAAGGGAAATTCTTTCTCACTACAGAAAAAAAAGCCTAAACAAAAAAAAAGCCTTCCCCTTTAAATCAGACGGGTCCACTTGTCAGCTGGCTATTGTCCGTGCAGCCTGGGGGCCCTTTTCAGCCATTCAGGTGTGCGTGGGCAGTGGCCATGCTGGTTACAGAACCTCAGGGCTGATTCTCCCCCCCCCCCCCCCCCCCGCGGTGAAGCAGGCAGCTGCGTGATCCAGCAGCTGCCTTTTGCAAGCTCTTCTACCTCCTGCAGAGCAAGAGAGCTCGAGGGAGTTAACAGAAAACTCCCTGATGAAGAAGAAGCCTTGTGGCCAGAAGCGGCCATTTTGTTGAAGACCTCATGGCCGGAGGCCATTTTGAAGACCAGGTGGCCATTTTGAAGAGGCCTTTCTTCTTCCCAACCAGTCTTGGTTGTTGTTGAGGAAGACATCGAAGGGTAGGCGCTCAATTTTCCTGGTGGGGGATTGGTTTCCCTATCCGGAGGTAGACCAGGGCCCTTGGGCTTCCAGCTGGGCCTGGTTGTTAGGGATAACATTATTTACCCTAACTGTTTTGGGTAAAAATAATAAATATGGTATCATGGTTTGTTAGTTAAAGTGTGTGTAACTTTAACTGCAAGAATGTAATTAAGGGTGTGGTTGTAAAAGCACTATATAAGAAGCGAGGCCATTTCAGCTCGCTCTCTGTGGCTTACTGATCCCTAATTACTGGATGGATTGATGACTGCGTTCTTGCCAAAGAAGGAGTGTTGATATATTTCTCAACGGAGAGAAAATAAAGATTGGACTGATTTATTGTAAGTGAACTGACATTGGCTATTCAACACGGACTTTGCAAATAGAGTATCCCCGACAAGATTTGACTGAAATTGATATATGACTAATGGACTTTTTATTTGACTATGCTATAATTCTTAAATGGAATAAAACAATATTTTTGATAGCACAAGCGTATCTGTATTTTTACTGCGTGTTAACTAGAAAACTTATCTCACACATTTACCTGTCTTCCTATCTGACTTCGCTGCACGTTCTGTTTAGTTTGTTTTCCTTAACACCCGTTGGGGAATCCAGGCTTAACACTGGTCTATAGTTATTGTCCTATTAGGCCCAGGAGGGTATGAGTCCCAAGAGGATGTGTTAAAACATCCTGCTGAAGTTGTGTAGGGCAGAAGAGAGTGGTGGTTGTTGTGGGGATGGAGAAGATTTCCCCTGAAGTCCCTTTATAAATCCCTTCATGTGCTCTCCTCCTTGCACAGGACTTTCAGTCCAGAATAGGCCTTGCTGTTCCAAGATGGCTGAAGCCCCAAGGGAAACCAGAGCTTCTAAAGCTGCCAAACCTCAAAAGCACATTCCAATATTTTCTTAATAATTTCTTCCTGTGATGGTAGAAGAGAAGAAGGAAATTATACGAGACTATTATGGGAAACTATACACACAAGAGAATATTGACGAGGATAGAGTTAAACAGTATTTACAGAATGCTAATCTACCCCAGATACCTAAGGAGATTGAAACAATGTTAGAAAGCAATATAATGATGATGGAGTTAACTGAAGCACTTAAGCAAAACAATGGAAAGGCACCAGGCCCAGATGGACTTCCGGCAGAATTTTATAAAACACTACAGGAATCATTGAACCTTCCATTGCTAGAAGTTACGAATGAAGTTATGTTAAAGAAGAAGATACCCAAATCATGGTCAGAAGCTTATATTACACTTGTCCCAAAAGAGGAGGCCGATCCATTACAAATCAAGAACTATAGACCTATTTCCTTACTAAATGCAGATTATAAAATTTTTGCTTCAATATTGGCAAAAAGACTTAAAAAATACCTAAACAATTTTATCCACCCTGATCAAAATGGATTTCTGCCAAAGAGACAAAGACAATATGAGAGTAATCTTGAATACTTTGGAATACTACGAGGCACGCCCTGAAAAACAAATGGCTTTGATATTTTTAGATGCACAGAAGGCATTTGATAACGTGAATTGGTGATTCGTGTTATTACAGCTGGAACAGATGGGCTTTGGTAAAAAAATTACCCAAGCAATAAAAGCTATATATCATAACCAAACGGCAAAGGTAATGATAGAGGGAGAATTGACAGACTCTATTGATATAAGAAAAGGAACAAGACAAGGGTGCCCACTATCACCTTTGTTGTTCATGTTAACCTTGGAAGTGTTAAACAGAAATATTAGAGAAGAAAAGGATCTAAAAGGGATGAAAATTAAAAAGGAAAAATTTAAGTTGCAAGCATTCGCAGATGATCTGGTTTTCATTTTAGAAGACCCACTAGAAACAGCATCAAAATTGATAGAAAAGATAGAGGTATATACAAAGGTGGCTGGTTTGAAAATAAATAAAGACAAAACAAAGATTTTGACAAAGAATATGCTATCAAGACAAAAGGAAGAACTGGCGGATGTATTGAAAATCCAGGTGACGAATAAGATCAAGTACTTAGGGATACATTTGACAGCAAGATGTAGTACACCAAAAGAGAATAACTATATTAAACTTAAGCAGCAGATAGCGGTAGATTTGGCGAAATGGGAAAATTTACAACTGTCATTTATAGGGAGAATATCAACAATCAAGATGAATATATTACCCAGAATTTTATATTTGTTTCAAACAATTCCAGTTAGGCTTGGAAAAGATTATTTTGAAGATTTAAATAAAATTGTGTTGAAATATATATGGCAAGGTAAGAAAGCGAGAATAAAGTTAAAACTTTTGCAAGATGCCAGAATAAGAGGAGGATTTGGTTTGCCGAATTGGGAGTTGTATTACCAAGCTACAAATTTGATGTGGGTCAAGGAATGGATAACATTAAGAAATGCTAGATTGTTGACATTAGAAGGACATGATTGTTGGGTGGCATGCTTTTTTATGGTATAAACTAAAGGAACTAAAACACAGGGGTATTTTAGAAGACATTATATACAGGAGTCTCTGATTAAACTGGGAGAAGACTAAAAGGCAATGTTATTTGAAAATTCCAGTCTGGCTATCGACTATTGAAGCATTTTCTTATCCTATAATATATAAAAAGGAACAAACAGTTAGATACGGTGAAATATTGAATGAAAAGGATGAACTTAAATCTGTGCAAAAATTAGAGGAACAAGGTATAAAGATGAATTGGTTTTCATATGCGCAAATACATTCAAGGTATGATAAAGATTCTAAAACAGAAGGTTTCTATGATAAACTGACTGATTTAGATAAGATTTTGACAGGTACTGATGAAAAGGTGATTAAAAAACTATGGATATTTATTAGAAATTAAACTAGAAGAAGAACAAGTTAAAGAAACTGATTGCTTGGGGGAAGAATTTTGGATATGGGATTGATCTAGAGAAATGGCAAAAATTGTGGTCTCAAAATTATAAAATGACAATGTCAACAGCATATAAAGAAAATCTGTATAAGATGTTTTACAGGTGGCATTTTCCCCTGACAAGAATAGCAAGAATGTTCAAGAACAAATCTGAAAAATGTTCGAAATGTCATCAGATACCTGGCTCATATTACCATATGTGGTGGACTTGTGTGGATGCCAAAAAATATTGGACTAAAATCCACATGTGCTTAGAAAAAATGACAAAAAAGCATATAGACTTGAAACCAGAGATATTTTTATTGGGAATTTTACCTGAAACATAGTAAAGAATTGAAATATCTGATTGTAAATGTATTAACAGCGGCTAGGATTGTATTTGCCAAAAACTGGAAAAATGAGAAAATACCATCAGAGGCCAGGACCAATCTTAACCCTCCCGAGGACAACCTTGCTTTGGTATATCCCATCCTGACCTGTCACAGCCTTACAAGGGAAAATGGGCGTTGTTTACCTGAACGCCGGTTTTCCTTGTTAAGCAAGACAGGTCAGCCCCCCCCTGGCCAAATGACCTTTGGGGGGGGGGGGGGGGGTGTTCCAACAATGTTCTTGTTCTTTTTCTCCCTTTGCTTAGAGCAGGGGTGTCCAACCTTTCACCTTCCCTGGGCCACATTAGAAGATGAAAATTTGGTTTGGGCCGCTCATATAATAAATTATTATAAAATAATTATATTATAAAATTATATAATAAATTATAAATTATTTTTATTATTTATTAAAAATTATTTATTTTTTATTAATTTTCCGGCCAAATTTTGCGGGGGAGGGGGGGAAAGAAAGCTCTCACGCCTACCTCTCCTCCTGCAAATGGCCCAGCTGGATGCGGCAGGACTGGAAGGCGAGGACCGGGAGGCTTGGTGCAGCAGCGGCGGCAGAAGCGGCGGGGGCGGGGGCAGAAGCGGTGGCGGCAGAAGCAGCAGCAGCCGCGGCGGGGGCAGAAGCAGCAAAGGCAGCGCCCGCCTTTTCTGTTGCTGCTTGGCGTGGCGCTCGCCTCGCCCCGCCTCGCGCCTGCCTCTTCTCCTCCTCGCTGGCTCTTGCCAGAAGGTTGGGGTGGCCACTGGGCCGCATTACGAGGTGACCTGGGCCACATGCGGCCCGCGGGCCGTGGGTTGGACAAGCCTGGCTTAGAGGCAGTTCAGTCTGTCACACGGTCTTCGCAGAACTGGGGAGGCGTAACCCAGAGTGGGCGGAGCTAGGCTAATAAACCTTTTACACAGACTCCGTCCTTAGCAGCTGAAGAGGAGTAACACCTATCCTGACCTGTCTTGCCTAACAAGGAAAACTGGCGTTCAGGTAAACAATGCCCATTCTGTCTTAGGCCCAGTATTCTTTAACATTTTCATAAATGATTTAGACAAGAAAATAGAAGGGGAACTCATCAAATCTGCAGATGACATCCAGCCTTGGGGAACAGCTAACGCTTTAGAACAGGGGGCCCCAACCGCCGGTCCGCGGACCGGTACCGGGCCGCGGAACAAGCCTTACCGGGCCGCTGGTTGCTGGGCGCCGCCATTTTTTTTGACGAAAAATCACTTCCGGTGACGTCACCGGAAGTGATTTTTCGTCAAAAAAAGATGGCGGCGCCCAGCTGACGCCGGAACCGGGCCGCGGCGCCCAGCTGACGCCGGAACCGGGCCGCGGCGTCGAAAAGGTTGGGGATCCCTGCTTTAGAAGATAGACTCAAGTTACAGAAGCTCTTGACAAACTTGGCAAAGGAGTTAGTTGCCTTAGCTTTCATTCACAAACACTGTTCAATGCATATTAGGCATCTTTCCTCTAGTTAACAAGAGCCTTTGCCAATGTGATTCCTTCCTGATCTAACAGTTCCCAGCTAGCATGGCCCAGAAAAGGCAAAACAGGCAGTGCTTGCTATCAGTCTAGAAATATACAGAAAGGGAATGGTGTTAGTAATTGGTTTTCTGTAGATTGAAGAAGTCAGGTGTGCTTGAACCACCCAGTATGATCTTAAAATAATAAATATTGTTCATATGGTTGTCATCTTATTGTCCTGCTATAGGCATATCCTAGAATAAAAGCCAACTTTATTATAGACTCTTACCTTTTTATGGCTTTAACTGAATTCTTATGTTATTCAAGAAATCCTGGCCGCTGCAAAGAACTTTTGTTGCTGTGTTTTTCTGACTGCATTATTGGTCGGTACCTTGAAGTAACTATAGTAGCGGAAGAAGAGTTGTTGATAGAAGCTACTGAGAAGTATTCTCAGAGAAAATGTAAAGTCAGTTCTGAATTCCAGATCGCAAAAGCAACAGAGGTTTTGCCACAATTGAAAAGGTACTGCTGATTAAAGTAAGATTAAATATACTTTAAACAAATGGTTTGCTTTTCTTGAGTAAAAATTGTTTAAGCATGAATGTCATATAATTGTTTGTTTTTAAGGGATTATCTTCATTTCAGAGATTTATTAGAAATATAACTGGTAGGAGTTACTTCAAAGAAATGGAATAAGTCTGTTTCAAATACCTATTTTACGAAATCAGGATTCTCAGGCTGCATTTTGGAAACTTGAATTCTTTTGATGAACCTTTTTTTTATTGTGAGCAGTGAAAAGTTTTTCAGTAAGGATTGTTTCAATGTCCAATATTTGAATTTTAAAGAGGACCATGAGATATATCTGTTTTAAACTTAGCTGCACCTTTTCAATATTTAAAATATATTGCATTCTACTTAGTCTTAGGAAGTACATTTCATCTGTTTAATTGAAACTTTCTTCATAATTGTTTTACAAATAATTCCAACATCTATGGTGTTGAACCAGTAGCAGTATCCATGTGTTTGTATGGTACTGTTCTCATAATTTATATGTGACTTTTTTGTCATGTCTGATTAGTGGCCAGTGAAGTTTCCTTATTGGGGAAATTAACTTCAAAGTTGCTATAATCTCTTTTTCTTTCTAAGACTAAAAAGTCCAAGCATTTGTGGAAGGTGTTGCAGAAGGAGAGATACGTTAGCTTATGGTGGCAAAAAAAAGTCTGGTAGTATCTAACTGGCTAACTGCAAAGATTGCTTTATATAATTTGACTGCTACTACTACTTTGATTTTCTAATACCTTAGAAAGTCAAGGAGACAGCTGCCAAGCTTCCTTCCACAGTACAATATTCCAGACAAAATAAGAGAATGTGTGGAAAAGAAATCGGATATATTGATTTTTTATCCAGATCTTGGAGAGGTACGTAAAGATCTCTATCAATTTATATATACAGATGCATGAATCTGGTACAACTGTAATCAAATGTCTTACTCGTAAGATTGACTAAATGTACAATATTATACATCAATGTATCTTTTTTTAAAGATCAGCACGTATATTATGCTATGCCAGCCTTAACTAGACTTGTTCTTGTGCTATGCAGTGCTAGTGACTTAGCTATCAGCCTGCTGTTTTGTTGTTATTGCAAATATTGTAAAATGAATGTTATGTAGGATAGGAATGAATTATACTATGATTTTTGTGAGTTTTTTTGCAATTTTTATGTGGGGGTTTTCTGGGACCTGAACATTATTTCAAGGGCTTCTTAAGGATAAAAAAGCCTGTGAGAGACTGCACTATAGCATATCTTAGCTTTTATTAATTATAGCAAGTAAAACCTTGAAACTTGCTCTGAAAGGATGTCAGCATGCCTTTGCTTTCTTAAAAGCTTCAAGATGATCCCATTGAAGAATGGCAGGGTAGATAAGTCTTTGTTCAGTCTAGCAAAGGAGTTAGGCAAAAAGTTGGAATCGCTAAAATACAGCTTTTTCTGGGCTACAGTGAGGTGGGGGGGAAGGAATTTGTGGCAAAGTGTTAGCTTATGAGAACAGTGGTTTAGAATGGACTCTTATAAGAGAGCCAGTTTGATCTAGTGATTAAGGCACCAGACTAGAAACTGGGAGGCTATGAGTTATTGTCCCATTTTAGGCCCAAAGCCAATTGGGTGATCTTAGGAAGGAAGTAATGGCAAACCACTTACGAAATCTTGTGAAGAAAATGGCTGGGATTTATCAGGCAGTCACCAGAAATCAAAGCTGCCTTAAAGGCACAAAAGATAGTCCCGCTTCTTCCGGTTTGAAGGGCTTCGGCGACGGATAGAAATCCGCGATCGTGCGTGGTTTCTGTCTGGGCTCGCCGTTGGAGCGCCCCGAGCCGGCTGGTTTCGGGACTAAGCCACCCCGTAGAGGTGGTGAAGAGGGGGGAGACCGCCAGCAGGGTCAAGGAGAGCCGCATCTCTCCTCCTCAGCTGGCCATTACTCCCTTTCCCGAAGGCGGTTGCAGCGGTGGTCAGAAATGGCCACTACAAAGAAGAACTCGACCGGAAAAGAATGTGCAGGAGGAAGATAAGAAGTGAAAATTTTGGCTGACCCGGTTAAATTGTAAAAGCAGCAACCAAGGTACCCTGGAATTTAAACTTACAAAAATAACATCGCTCCCAAAGAAGAGTCGGAAGCAGCGAAGGAAAGTGAAAAGGGAAAGGTTTGGCTTTTTTTTTTCTTCTCTCTCCTTCCCTATACTGACAACTAAGAGACTTAAATAAGAAATCGGAAAAATCCGCTTTGACATCAATAGGCAATTAAGCTGAAAATAAAACAAAATGCCAAAGGGATAATAAAGATTTCTGGACATTAAAACCTTTTTTTTTTCATAAGCAGGAAGAGAGAGAAAAAGAATAGGCAGGATCTGGAAGAGGGAGGAGACTGCCTGGAATTAAAAAGAATCTACAGTAAAACTTCAACAAGACTTCTAAAAGATACATTTTAACTGAAACTTTGCAACTAAATAGTAACCCCAGGAAGAGAAAGTGAAAAAAAAGAGCAAAAAAGAAACAGCTTGCGTATATTTGGATTATTTGGTGATCTTTGGATTTTTGGTTATTATATTTGAATGACTAAAATCAATCGGGTGGTTGTTTAAAATTTTATACAATGGCACCACTTCTGGGTGAATTGAAAATGGAACTTAAAAAGTACAAAGAAGATGCACAAGAAGGGAAGGGTTCTTTTGGCTTCGTTTTTCAATTCTTAGAAATGGAGATTTGGAACTATGAGAAACAACAAGAAACGTCTGCAAAACAAGAAGACTGGGACAAAGAAGAAGCCATCTTTAATGAACAAGTAATTTTATGTGGAGAAGAAAAAGGAAAGGGGGGAAAGAGAATGGAGAATTTAAGACTTAAAAAAACAACCAAAGAAAAGAAAAATAATTTGAAAAACAAGTATAATACTGGAAAGCAACAGAAAAGGGCAATACAGAAGAGAGAAATAGAGAGACAAGGGGGGGGGAAAGGGGAGAGAGAAGAAGAGAGGGAAGAAGGAAAGGAAAAGAAGTTACAAAGGACCAGAGCAAGATATAGAGGAACAGGACCTATTTAGAGATAATGGGTGAAAATCTAACTGAAAAAGGGATTCTGTAAAGGTACATAAGATTGTATTGTTATATTAGTAATAGAAGTAACTTTAGAAAATTGGAAACAACGTATGATTAAAATGAGGGATAAAATAGTTAGTGTAATTTAGTGAAATGTTTGTGAATAAAATAAGTGAAATAAAATAAATGGGAAAATTGAATTAGGAAGGAACGGGAACATTTTAATTAGTTAATGTTTTATAAAATATAAGTGAAGGGAGGGGAATTAACTATGGAAAGCTTATAATTGTTCCCATAGAAGTATGATATTTAATTGATAAGTAATGTTAAAGATGTTAAGACTTCAATGAATATTAATATTAATGATAGAATTGACTTGGAAAGGAATGTTGTTTTAATTATATACATTTATAATTTTTTTCTTTTTTTAAGAATACAGTGTGTATTTTAAGAATGTACCAAGCATAATCCGAATGGAAGTTATGTATTATATTGAATGTTACAACTTTAGGGAAAAGATATAAAGGCGTCTTACTCCAATCAGTAACTACAGGAGAAATTTTGTTTAATGAGAAAAGATAATAGACAATTGAAACAGGACAGACAAAAAATATAAATACAATGATTTGAATTGAGATGAGATAATTAAAATAAAATTGAAAAAATTAAAAGAGGGGAGAAGCTATGCAGAAAATGTAAAATAGTAATAAAATATGGAATAGAATATAAAAATGAGCATGAACATGAATTTGTGCCTGTACGAAGAAATGTAACCTGGGATTACGCTACTTTCAAAAAAGATGTTTTATTTGTATTTTTTTTCTCTTTGTGAAAACTCAAATAAAATTTACCAATATATATATATATATATAGTCCCGCTTGATTTAAACAAAAACATTGTTAATTAGGAAATAATATACATCTGTACTTATGTGGGCTTATTTATTTTTAACTAGCATTCTGACACTATTTAATCACACTCAGCATCTTATATAATGTAATAAAAGTTAAAACATCAATTGTATAATTAAAAGGTAGCAATAACATCATAAACACTGTTCCTGGGTGCTATTAGAAATTTTGGGATACAACTCCCAATAGCCCTTCTTAGTAAAACTGCTGGTCAAAAACAGGGGTTAGATTCAAATTTTGTAACAACCGGTTCTGTGGGCATGGCCATATGACTGAGTAGGTGTGGCTTTTTTGCAGCAAACCCCCCCCCCCATTTTTTGGGCCTCGGGAGCCTCCGGGGGGCAAAAAATGGAGCATGTGGGGGCAAGAGCACCCCCCTACACTCCATTTTGGGGCCTTCTGGGCCTCAGGGGAGCCTCTGGTGGGGAGGTTTGCTCCCAGAAGGCTTCCCTGGGGTTCAGGAAGGAAAAAAACAGCATGGGGGGCACGCAGTACCCCCCTGTGCTCCGTTTTGCGGCCCGGGCCTTCTGGGCTTCAGGGAAGCCGCCTGGGCGAAGCAGTAAGTAAGAGAGGGGAATCCCGGCACAGCTGATCATAGGAACAGCTGATTGTCGGGAGGAGGAAAATACCTTAAGGAGTGACTGGTCGGGGAAGAACGCAGTCAGCAATGTGGGGCATCCGCGCAATGTTGCACATACGGTATAAGGATTGACTGGACGGGGAGGGAAGGGGTGGGTGGAGATGGGAGGGGCCAGCCAGGGGCATGATTTGCCAGTTCTCCAAACTGCACATAATCATAACAACCAGCTCTATAGAACCAGTCTGAACCGGTAGAATCCCACCCCTGGTCAAAGATGGTGGATCATGTAAACCAGAATTCTAGAGGGAGACAACTTTTAAAAAAAACTTCTAGAAATAATTGCATGATTACTATGGAAGTAGAGAAATGATTTTAATATTGTTTCTACCTTCCCTTAGAGAAATTAATAGAAGAGACTTAACTGCCTTGGCATTCATTGGTTTTAAAGAGATACCATAAAAAACGATTTGGAATATTTATTCATTTCTCCTCTTACTGATTATTTTCTTTTCCTTGGCTTGTAAAAACTTAAAGCTGAAAGATGTTCACACAATTTGCAGATGCAAAATACATGGTGCCTTTCTTAAAAGTAGGATTTTACTTCACTGAATTTGCATTTCCATGTTTTTCATTGGAGGTTTATAGGATCTAGAGTAGGCATGTGGAATCTCTACTGTCCAAATGTTTCTGAGATGCCCTTCCCCAGAGCCCAAAGCAGCTTCACAAATTCTGAGGAGTGCAGATAGGCCACAGGTTGTTCCTCATGATTTACAGCTCCTGTAATTTAAATGTTCTCAACTCTTTTTGTGTTTCAGGGTTTAACTTTTCTTAATTATAAGACAAACTTTTCTACTCTTTTGTGGCTTGAAGAAATGAATTCAGAGGCAGAACTGAAGGAGTTTACCATGTGTGGGGTCACTTTGAAAAAAAATGGAAATTTCTTAGTACTTGAAGTGCCAGGGATCATAGAGGGCCGTCCTTCATTATTCCTTGGTAGGTTCTTTCTATAATTTTATATAAAAAGCAATAAACTGCAGTCCTCAAACCTCTTTTCTGCCTCTCTGAAGCATAGCTAGAAGTCTATGACTTGGATCATATAAAAAGTATATTTAGCTTTTTCCCCAAGAGTGTTATACTTGCTTTTTAAAGAATTTTAATTTATAATGTCAACTATTGCCCTTTTGGGGCCTTCAGGAAAATACTGAGAAAGAGAAGCTTAATAATTTTTTTGCCTTTATATAGTGATATGGTTGGATTTTCTAATTCTGTTCCCTGTGCAATTACATTATTACATTTGGTACGAAGAGAAATAATTTGACATATACACTTTAAATTAGGTGACAAAGTGATACTGAAGACTCAAGACTATTTAGAGGAGGCGATCCACTTTGCTGCATATATTGCTGAGGTAAGTTAATTAGTTCTTTTTGGCTTATTTTCTGTACATTTATATCTTAATAATGTAGCTAAGCCATATTTATTTAAAAGTAACTCTTGTATTATTAAGAAGTAGTTCCACGTTAGTTGATATATACTTGTATCCTGCAATTTGGGGGCGGGTTTAAACTCCAAATTTACTACATTTAAACTTTAATTTAATTTATATTGTCTCATACCAGATTCCTACATATGTTCAGTTCCTGCAGTTTTGGAAACTTCAGTTAGTAAAATAAAACAATACGTCAAGTAGTTTGTGTAGGGACATAAAATTTAATTCTTGATGTTTTCTTAAGAGTTTTTAAGTATGGTATACAGTGAAATACCGTATATACTCGAGTATAAGTCGACCCGAATATAAGCCGAGGCACCTAATTTTACACAAAAAAACTGGGAAAACTTATTGACTCGAGTATAAGCTGAGGGTGGGAAATGCAGCAGCTACTGGTAAATTGCAAAAATAAAAATAGTTAATTTGGGAAACGATCTCACTATCATGAAAGGTTTAATTGATTCATTAACCCAAAAGAAGAAGATGATGATGACAGCGGGAGGCAGGAGTCACTCTCTTCCCCTCCCTCGGAGGCCCCCTGAGTCAGGAGTCACTACCGCCGGCGCGGCCCCAGTCCCGCGTCGCCTCGGGAAGGGAAAGGCAAAAAGGAAGAGCCGCGGCAGCGCTTTGCAACAGCAGCAGCGGCACCGGAGGCTCAGGCTCAGCGGCTCCTGGTTTTGCCCCACCCTTCCCAAGGCAACGCGGGACCAGAGCCGCACTGGCGGCAGCAACTCCTGACAGCCCCAGCCGGACACCTGAGCGGAGATGTAGGGAGAAGGCAAAAGCGACGGAAGATCCTTCAGGGGAAACTGAGGGGGAGACTCACCCTTGGTCCAGATGAGCCCCCTTCCCCGCCCCTAAGGAAGCAGAGGCAGCCAGCAAGGGCAGGCAAGCCCCACTTCACAGACTCCGTCCGTCCTCGCTCCCACCCACCCACCCACCCAAAGCCACGAAGTCCCCCAATCGCGCAGCCCAGAATTGCCCTCCCCTCAGGGGGCAGCAACGATGCCCGGTTTTTCCCGAGACAAGAAGCTCCGC